GCGCGGGGGGGGCCCGGGGGCGGGCCGGCGGCGGCCGCCATCCTGCAGCGCAGCGCCGAGGGCCCGGGATCCCTGCGGCTCCGTGCCCGGCGAGGGGCGGGGAGGAGGAGGAGGAGGAGGAGGAGCCGGGGCTTTCCGGGAACTGCAGCCCGTGCGGGAAGCCCCTGCCCAGAGCTGAACCCTGGGGCACTTGCTTGCACCCCTTGGGCTCCAGCTTCACCCCAGCTGCAGGGTGGCACTTGACCTACACGAGCTAGTCGGGGCTGGTCCAGATGTGACCTCCCGAGGTCCCTTCCAGCCCCCCTCTTCTGTGACCCCCTGGCTCCTTGTCATCCACCCGATTCCTATTAAACTCGTCACTCCACAGCGGTTCACTGTCACGGGCTTTATGCTTCACCCCTCCAGAGCGCCCGCTTTCTGCCCCCAGGCACCGAGCGTCTCTTTGCCAGCCCTGCTGACTGGTTGGAGCTCATTCCAGTGATGCTATATCACGCTGTGCTTCCATCTTCAACTCAGGCAGGCCTCTTAGTAAAAGCTCCTAGTTTATTTTTAACTGGAGGGAAAATAGGTGCTGGGTCCTCTGGGATGATGCGCCTCACCGTCTGTACAATCCTAGATCTGTCCGTGTTCCCGTCTCTGACTGCTGTCGCTGCACTGCCCCGGGCATGCAATCCCAGGGGCCTTTCTCCTTCCCTGCCTTGTGCTGTTCAGAAAAGTCCCTCTGTGCCACCCATCTGATATCACTGCCGCCCCTGAGCTAGTGCCAAGCCACGCTGAACAGCCATCCTGCTTCCAGCTGGTGAGGAGCAGATGCCGGCAAAGCTTCGCTGTCCAGGCCTCTTCTAAACACCAGGACAGGTACTGTAAAGTGCAGGTGGCATGACTGTACCCTTTACCCTGCTGCCCTCTCCCCCCACACAGACCTCCAAGGGAGCTGGGGTCAAGAAAGGAATGTGTTAAGCAGCACCCCTGCCCTTTTGTTCCCAGCAAAAGGAAATGTTTCAAGGGAGTGACCACACTGCAAACCTGATTAAAAGTTCAACACTGCTGAATACAGCTAGCACATGCATGAGAATGCAATACAGATAACACCTCTCGTGAATGTCTAGATCTACTCTAAACCCATGCTCAATTTAACAAAACACAAGCAAGACTGCAACTTAGTATTGCTTAAGCCTCCAATTCCCAACAGGTGGCCAGCCTCTCAGCAGTATCTCCCCCAAAATCGGAGACTAAGTGCCAAGAGGGACAGGATCCTCAAACTCCCTGTAGATAGAAACTCAGCAAGGGATGCAGAAGGAACATCTCTCAGGTGACCAACCCCTCCTTTTACCTGCTCCTCAGGAAAAGTTTCCACCCATACTTGATAGAAACTTCCTTCAAACTTCTGGCAACTATGGTCAGAAAGATGTTCTCATGACATCCTGTTGGTCAACACACCAACTTGAAACCCTTAGTCAGGATTAGATGTCCTATGACCGACTAGGTTTTTCAAAAAGTTTTTCAAGAAGTTTCTCTTCCCACAAATGTTGTTCCTTTTTATGCTACTTCCCTTCCCCTAACTTCTGCTAATTTAAGTATACTGGTATACCAGACTACAAGTGCCAGAAGATCTATAAACTTTTTTATAACAAAGGTTATAAAAGTTAAGGAG